AGTGTCGAGGAGGGTCTGTACCTTGGTACGCGGGGCGGCGCGGCGGTTGTGGATCTGGCGGGGGAGATTGGGGGGTTTGAGGTGGGGATGAGTTTTGATGCGCAGATGGTGCGGTTGGGTCATACTCATACATCGTCGTCGGCTGGGGCTGCGCCGGCTGAGCACGGGGTTGTAGATGTGTTTGGGTGGGAGTCGTGGACGGAAAAGGTGCATAAGTGGGTGTGGACGGGGGATGATCGGAACGTGAGGGCTGTTTGGGTCCGGGGGCGACTGGTCCACTCTTTGGATGAAGGACAGTTGGATGTGAGCACATCCGAGAAAGGGAAGACTACGTGGACAGGGACAGGGATGGGCTGGGAGTCGAGGTGGTGGTTGTGTGGGTTGGGGTTTGTGAGCGCTTGGTTTGTTTTTGATAGAGTCATGCGGTAATGTCTTACTGCGGAGCAAGCGTAGCATGTTATAAATACTTCATTGTCAATACTAGCTTCCGGCTACCACCTTCCTATACCCTGGCGATGCCCTACTGGAACAGCTCCACGCAGTCGAAGATCTAGCAATGTTAGTCTAGAACACACAAAGTAGTGACTGAACTCACAAAGTTGGGACTGAGGAACGTGTCTCCGGAGCTTCCAGAGACAACACTGATGGTAATCTGTGTCCGTCAGCTTGGTAGTTACGCTGGTAAGATGATGAGACGTACCGTGTTGGTGCCCGCAACGATCGTGCCGGCCGGAATCGCAACATCATACACCTCACCCAAACCCCTGTATGCACCACGGGTGACACCGCGCGAGTCGAGGTTCGTCGGCGCAGAGGGAATCGGTCCGGTATACGAGTTGACCTGTCTCATTAGCTTGTGAAGAAAAATCTAGCGGGACCGGCGGCATACCGTGGCTTGTGGTCGACCACCCGCGAAAGACAGGGTCGTGCCGATGCGCAGTGTAGCGGCGCCGGTCTGCGAGGACGACGCCGTGAACTTGATCGTGACGGGGCTGTTGGCCGACTTGAAGATGGCCATGGGGAAGTTGGACACCGAGGAGCTGCCGACGGTGTAGGTGACCGGGCCCCAGCTGGACATGCGCGAGTCGGACGGGTGCATTCTCAGCTGGTTTGCTGCGTTGAGGAAGCCAGTGGGTCTAGACGGTCAGTACCTCTCTATGAGTTGATATCCTTTGCTGAACTGCACTTACTGGCCGTCCCATACGCCGATCTTGAAGATGGTGGTGCCGGTCGTCACGGACCCGGAGATGTTCTTGGTGGTCGTCGAGCCGGCCGACACGGTGACAGAGGTCGAGGCAACCTTGTATTCGCCTTGGTAGTAGACCATGGTATAGGTTCCGGGCTTCATGGCGGGAGAGGTGAAGCTGCCGTCGGAGGCCGTGTAGGTCCAGTACTGCGCCGCATCGTTGTACCTGGAGAATCAGTCATATCCGACATTACTTTAGGGTTCAAGGCAGGGCAATACCAGTGGACAACCCATGCAAACGCGGAATCAGCACCCGATGCTTTTCCAGTCACCGTGCCTCGGCCGCTGGCCGCGACGTAGCCCGTAATGCCAAGGTTCGCAAAGAAAGACGTATCAATGTCGGTGCTGGGAGTGCCGCTGCGACTAAAGTACATCGAGTATGGGCCGTGCAGACCCATGCGGTACGATTCTGTCTGGACGTGGCCGGAGTTCTGGGCGCATTAGTGACTGCACGATTCCGGACAGACAAACACCTACCATGTACCAGTAGAGGGAGTTGTAGTCGCCTCCGTTGTTGGAGTTGATATCGCTGTTGAAATCAGTGGCGGCTCGGATATAGGAACGGAAAAAACTTACCGGTGGAAAGGTCCGCCGGAAGAAGACTCGTACTGGTTCAGGATCATGCACACACGATGCGCGCTGCCAGAGACGCCTGTGTCTGTTAGCCTAGATTCCAGGAAGTAGATGCTACCTACAGTGTCTCTGGTCGTCGATGAATCGCTGACTGGAGTAGAACTTGCTGCGGGTCTGTCCATCGACCAGGAACTATGGCTGTCAGACGTGGGTATGCTGCGGATATGACCAACTTACCACATCCGAGCCCTCAATGGCGGTACCGCCAGCGGTGTTTGAGACTTCACCAAATGGCTCCTCATTGGGGAGGAGGGTGTTGTCGAGACGGGCAATGAACCGCAGCTCACCGATAGATGGTTCTGGATGGTCAGCACAGATCCTGAAGCAATTGTCCGAGGACTAACCCGCAGTAATGTAGGTGGCCATATGAATGATGGGGTCTCCGTTGTGCACAACGAAGTAATGAGTCAAGGTACTCGTCGAGCAGGTAACCTTGATATAATCGCCTAGAGAGGTCAGTCTAATACCGTCATACCGAGGCAGTAGGACACACCACTCTGAGTGGCAGAGACGGTTGCAGATCCGAGACCGGACCCAATGTGGCTGCCTGTGCTTTGATACTGCAGCTCGGAGCCGTAAAAGTTGATCGATGTGATGTCGCAGTTCGACCGGTTGACCGTAAACTTCAACGGATTCGGCGAGTTGGCATCGATGACATAGGAGCTGGTGGTCGTGGTGATGCCAAAGGCCGCATTGGCGACCTGAGCCCAGAAGGGAAGGGACAAGAAAAGCACAGCTTTCGACAGCATTGTAAACCGCTCTGGGAGGTGGCGTTCTGAGCTGATGTGTGGGTCTGCAAAAGTGCAGATGCTTATATATCACCAGATGCCATTCTTCAGGATGTTTCCAGCCTCAGACACAGAGGGATCTTCATCTCCATCACATTTCCCCTCCTGGCAATTTGACGGGTTCCACCAATCTCAGGAGGTGGATAATTGCGCAACATGAGCGCGGCATCATTATCTATATCAAGGCTGGCGCTAGAGAAGGAGTGCATGGCTGTATATTAATTGGGTCCACAATATATACCGATGCATGCGGAGAAGCCTGTGCGAATGCCGCGAATAGATAAATACCACGCGGTATGTTTCTCCGGGGAAGAGTTGGTGCCAGTATCATAATCTCAGCAGATGCTCCTTTATACCGGCCAATTTCTTCACACAGTTTCTGTGATTTTGAGAGATACCAATCCGTACACTAGCTTCATTCCTGCTCGATAGCATGCACGCATGCACCCTCGTAGTGAATCCAACATCAACCTCGTCAGGTCGCAGGAGAAGTTCCGGTTCATCCGGATGATGTTTCAGAATCACATCGCCGTGTCTAAAAGGGACGATCACCAGGCGGGGTTTGACAGGATCCATTGGCAATCCGTTACTCCATATTGCAAGCCAGACTCGGTCGGTTTTATCGCGAGAATCCAAGTCATTGTCTTTCCGCCATGATTTTGAATCAATCGAACTTTTGCCGGAATGATCCCAACTGGGTTTCGTCAGGCTTTGGCGCCATAGACACCAAGTCAGGTGCACCCGGATTTTTTCCGTGTTGAGCTTCTTCAGGGGAGAGGCTTTCAGTAATTTCTATTTCCATCAATCAATCAGCCGCTCATTGCATCCCTCGCATTGTATCATCCCGAGTCTGGCAGAGGTGTTGCGGTCGGCCAACGCAACCTGGTCTCATCTGATGACATTCAATTTAGGCATATCCCTCTTTAGTGTCATCCAACTGCGCAGATAGGAGCTGTTGCAGTTGATACTGCCAAGGTGATCGAATGTGTCGAGTTGGGAAATGAAACTCCTGGTGGGCTTGGTGCCAGTCTTCACCGGAATCAGTCCGGAAGACCCAGCCGTCCAGCCGAAGGACTCCTTGGGTATGAAGATTGAAGAACATTTCTGCTGATTAATGCCGGAGATTGAATTCTAGACCGTGTTCTTGCTAGGTTGCTTGTCTCATTCATCGTTGCTAACCGATTAGTTCGAATAGCCAAGAGATCATGATTCAGGAACAGCAAACACTCTTTTTCACGGCATCCCTCATCGATATGTTAAAGCCATGTTTGAGGACTCTGTCATTTCTCAAGTACAATCCCTACAACGGAGTAACGGGTGGCCATTTAGGTTCTCCAAGCCAACACTGACTAATATGCTCAGCGTGCAAAGGCTCAATTTCCATGAGTCAGAGTCAGAGTCAGAGCATGCCTAGCTAATGCAGATAGCTGTCGCTGGCATTCCAGCAGTAAGGTCATGAGATTTGGAACTATGGCGCTTCAAAGTCTTCTTCATAAAAACAAACATGAATAGCTTTTTCGGTCTAGCTATGTCATATGAGATCGCATGATGATGTGCAAACAATCTAATACAGAATTTGTTCATTGTCCTTCCTCAGCCTTGAGAGAGTGATAGGTTCTGTTAATTATCCAGGGTGAAGAACCGCATTTACTCTGACTGGTTATCAACTTGGCAAAACATGACGCTGTTCGCGACTAAAATGGTTTGCCATTGTCTGTATGCATTCCAAATTAGCAATGCTATATCTGTGCGCTGCATGGCTCTGTACAAATAGAGCATCCTAACCTGAAGCTATTGTTCGGGGATATGCATCATATTGTTCTAGAAGGACTCAGTCCGCCCCTGAAGCGGATAACCATGTGGCTGCGTCTGACTCGCTAATGCATCTTTTGGTTTTAGTGCCAATCAATTGGTGAAGTTTTGAAGCCCCAAGTCAGCCAGAAGTGTCTTCATTCCGATCGGTGGCTGGACCCTCATAGACGGTTGAATGGCTGATATCACTGCTTCCGGTAATCTGTTGTGCGACACCACTGAGTCGTACCGCACGCGATATCCCCTGTCTCGGTGACAGCGATGGTTGTGAATTTCCATCGCCTGCTCAGGACTGGCGACTGCAATTGCAAAAATGACTACATTAACTTCGGAGACTCCTCCTCGAGGACGTGACGGTATATACGTCCGTCAACTCCAGCCTTCTCCGTCGTTGATCCGATATCTCAACTCAACAGGCAGATCTTGCTCTATCCTCGTTTTTATCTCATACTGAGTTTGACACTGAGTCCATCATCGTGTTAGACTTTCCGATGAAGCTCTATCCATCATGGCTCGCTGCAATGAACCTTGCAGTACTCTTCGACCCTGTCACAGGCATAGGACTACCAGCGTCTACGCTAGGAAGAGACCTGCGAATCGCCGCTGAGTTGGGCATGGATTCTCATCTCGCATTGAACGACCCTGAAGCTTTCAGTTCTATGATTGCCAATTCTGCAGATCCCACAATTGCAGCAGAATATACAGAGGTGAGTTCACACCTGTACAACTATCGGTCTTGTTCCTGACTCGTGTAGATCCTCATTGACCACGAGGATCCTTCGTTTGGCACCTATCGAAACAGATTTTGGGTCAATGAAGAATTCTATGTCCCCGGGAGCCCTATCATGGTCTATGACATTGGAGAGGCTACTGMTGAGTATTCAGTTTCTTTGTTGACAAATTCCTCATCCTGGCTTAGTCTGCTGTTGCAAGAATTTCACGCTATGGGAATCGTGTGGGAGCACAGGTAGGCCCGCCAGAAGCCTTAAAGAATTAAATATGTACTGATGTTGCAAAGATATTATGGAGAGTCCCTTCCGTTCCCCGTCAGCCAGAATATGCCCGTGGAGCACATGAAGTATCTCACCACTAAGCAAGCCCTCGCTGATATCCCCTATTTTGCTGCAAATTTCAGCCGGCCAAGTCATCCTGATATCGATCTGACACCCCGAGGAACTCCTTGGGTTATGATCGGTGGATCCTATCCTGGTATCCGTGCCGCGTTCACTCGCAACAAATACCCCGATACCATATTTGCGGCTTATGCTTCGTCCGCTCCGGTACAAGCTCAGCTCGATATGAGCGTGTACTATGAGCAGATTTACCGTGCTATGGTGGCCAACGGGTACAGTAACTGCACCAAAGACATTCAGGCTGCTCTCAAGTACATCGATGGCCAGTTGTCCAACGGAGAGACGTCCGCGTCGATCAAACGGCTTTTTCTTGGACCCGACGCGGAGAAGAACAGCAATGGAGACTTCACCACGGCTTTGGGCGCTCTTTACGGACCCTTTCAGGCTCACAGTATTTGGAGCGGTAATCAAAGCTTGCACAATTTCTGCAACTACCTCGAGCTGGACCCAGCGACAAACCAGTCGGCAGGACCGGAGGGTCTCGCCCCGATCCGCGGCAGCAAATACGTTGCAGAGCGCTGGGCGTCCTTTCCTTACTTCATATCGCTTGTCAACAGGATGTACGGGACTAACTGCAACGGTCTCAATGCATCAGAGCCTTTGTCGTGCGATTTCAGCCAACCCAACACCGTCCCTGAGTTGATCAGCTGGACTTGGCAATACTGCACAGAATGGGGGTTCTTCCAGAGCAACAACTTTGGCCCTCATGCGCTTCTTTCCTCGTATCAGACCCTGGAGTATCAGCAGGAACTCTGCTATCGCCAGTTCCCAAATGCCGTCCAGGCTGGACTCCTACCGCCACGACCACAGACGGAAAACATGAATGAAGAGTTCGGCGGCTGGACTATCCGACCGTCCAACGTGTACTTCAGCGGGGGGCAGTTTGATCCCTGGAGACCATTGTCGGTGCTATCTGACGAAAACTGGGCTCCACAGGGGGTCAATTTCACAACTGAAATACCGGCATGCGGGGTCTCCACCAGCAAAGACGCGGTATTTGGGTACATTATGGAGAACGCGGTGCACTGCCCAGACTTTCAGCTCACCCCGGACGCGGCAGTGTCCCGGAATTACTTTAGCCAGGCCTTAAAACAATGGCTGCCATGTTTCAGGCGAAATCAGTCCAGCAGTCACAGTGATTCCTGATGTCACGTTAGTGTGGGGAGTGGTTAGCGTGGTTGATCCTTGCGATGTAGCTAGCCCTTTTCATATATGCTTGCGACTTAGCCGAGACTATCTAGACTGTGCATAGCTTGAGTCAGACATATTGCATCCGTTCTGTCTAACCAATTTCGTATGTGCTTGCGATGGATCGTTCATCGGTTTTCTTTTGGACCATTCACACGTTGAGTTTCCTGTGCCTCGTAGTTCCATGGATGTAAGTTTGGTAGCGATCCACCCACACATGTCGGAGTCCGAGTCTGCCTCTTCGCCGAAGCATCAACATATCTCCAGATTAGCGAGGTTGTCATGATCGCATACTGAGGGGTAGCCTGGAAACCTACATCGGCATGTGGTATAATTTATAAATAGTCAGCGCTGCGGTCATGGATAACCTTGGTATCACACCGGTCTGGACCATTTCTAATTCTAACACTCGGATAATCGCTATTGTCACACAAGTCACAAGTACAACCTCACCCACCAGGGCACGACACCATGCTGGCCCCTGCTGTCGCACTATTCACCGCAGTATATACCACATTCTTGGTCCTCCGTTACTTCCAGCAACTCTACAAGCACCGCAAACAGGCCCGGTCCCTGCGCTGTCAGCCCCCCACCGAAGGGGCAGCGGGCATCTTCGGCATCTCTGCTTTTCTACGCCTCAAAAAAGCCGTCAAGGAGAAGAGATGGATTGAGCTTATCGCCGAGCAGTACGGAAAGTACGGTAACACGTTTACTCAGACAATCTTTGGACGACGGCTGGTATCTACGATCGAGCCGGAGAATCTCAAGGCTCTGCTCGCGACACAGTTCAATGATTTCGAGCTCGGGACGAGGCACCAGGAGTTTTACCCCTTGCTCGGGGACGGGATTTTTACGCTGGATGGAGCGGGATGGTCGCATGCGCGTGCGCTATTACGGCCCCAGTTTACGAGGGACCAGGTGAGTGATTGTTCCCATCCCTTGAAACTGCGCTAACTCCTCAGGTTGCCGATCTGGACTTGATGGACGGCCACATCTCCAGACTGATCGACTTAGTCCCGAAAGACGGCTCGACGTTCGATATTCAGCGGCTGTTCTTCCTCCTCACAATCGATTCGGCGACTCATTTCCTCTTCGGGGAATCGGTGGGCTCTCTGCACGCTGGCACGGACACCGGCCTTCTGGGTAAATCGGCCGTCGGTAACGCGCAGGGCTTCGCAGAGGCGTTCAACACGGCACAGGAGTACCTCGCCGCGAGGTCCCGAGCGGTCAACTTCTACTGGATGATCAACCCCAAGGAGTTCCGCGATGCCAACAAGCGCGTCCATGAGGTCGTCGACCACTACGTTCAGCTCGCCCTCGAGTCGCGGCGGAATCCGGAGAAGAAGCAGCCTGGGGGCCGGTATATCTTTGCTGAGGCGCTGGCGGCCAACAGCGATAATCCGAAGGTGTTGAGGGACAACATGCTCAACATCCTGTTAGCGGGGCGCGATACAACCGCCAGCCTGCTCAGCTCGACATTCTTCTATCTGGCGCGCCATCCGAACGTGTGGACCAAACTTCGTCAGGTCATTCTGGATGCGTTCGGCGACGCCGAGCACCCCAAGGAGGAGATCACGCAGACCAAGCTCAAGGATATTCCGTACTTGCGATATGTGCTGAACGAAGGTACGTCACCCCCTTGACAACTCAGAGTAGGAATATTCTGACAGCCGACCAGTCCTCCGGCTCCTGCCACCCGTCCCTGCCAACTTCCGCGTCGCCAACAAGGACACTACCTTACCTCTCGGAGGTGGGCCGGACCAAAAGTCCCCCGTCTACATCCGCAAGGGCACAGTAGTCACCTACAGTGTATACGCCATGCACCGCCGGACAGACTTCTATGGCCCGGATGCCAACGAGTTCCGACCCGAACGCTGGGAAGAAAACGGCAGACGGGGATGGGAGTATCTTCCCTTCAACGGGGGTCCCAGGATCTGCCTTGGCCGTGAGTCCTCCTATCTTTCACAAAGCTATACTTCTAGCTAACATCTGCAGAACAATACGCACTCACCGAGGCCAGCTTTACGATTGTCAAATTACTCCAGCGATTCAATCGGATTGAGAACGCGGACCCGGACCTTGTTGAGCCAGTTCAGCAGACGAATCTCACTCTGGCGCATGATAGGGGTGTACATATTAGACTATACTTGTCGAAGGCATTTTGACAGTGTGATATAACGAAGCACGGCTTATGACAACTTGAATTATCTCGGCTCAAACAATTTTCGGTTTTCCTAGCTTAATAAATGTACCTACTAGATAGTCTACTAAATATATTGACGACTGATGTTCATCAACAAAATACCAGACCCCACGTACATCCCAAAGAGGAAAGTGATTGATGCGCCACACGTGGCTGGTACTGTGGCGCAGATTATCTCCATGATTCGCCGAGGGAAATGGGCTGGATTTCCGTCGACACCATCGAATCACTTCAACTATTGGTAGAGTAGAACACGCTCAGACCTTAGGAGCATCTCACTGGAGCGCCATAATCATCTTTCGACGCATCTTCAACTTCCTGGAAGCTTCTCTTATCAGTGGGATCGTGTGCCAGTCAAATCAAATCAAGTAACTGGGCTATAATTCCGGCCCTTCGTCGGAACAACAATCATCTCCCACTCTCATCGCTCCTTGACATCCGTCTTGGGAGCGGCCGGTGTATACCTCTTTGCTGACCTATCTTCTTTGGTTTTGCAAATCCAGCTGACTCTGCATTGATCCCGTCACTGAACGGTCAGTCAATATGGCCTCTACTTCAAAACCCAGTTCACAACGGCCTGCGACAGGTGTGATTGTCCCTAAAATGGAGCATCCTCCTCAGGATACAATCCCCGCCGAAGTTCCTGACAAGGACAATGCGAGCGGTGAAGCCTGGACCTCAGAGATGCAGTATGTGTCGTCGCTGGCGAAGTTGCAGAAGATGGAGGCGACGGTTAGTCTTCTCTCCCCTGGCCTTAATTGCAGTTCAAGCTGATTAGTGCAGATCCACCAACTACGGACTCTACTCTCTGGGCGTCTCATGGACCCGATAGTCCCCATCGTCAGCCCCAAGGCGGCTTCGAGGAGGCCGCTGCCAAAGTCGCCGCGGGAGCTCTTTGAACAGCTCTCGCGGACGGCTCGCGCGAGCGTGGCAGAGGTCCAGGAGTTCCAGGCGATGTGGCGCAGCCCTGAAATTAAAGCCATCTGGGACCATGTGGACGCTCGGATCAAGCAGAACGGGGGCCAGCTGCTGCAGCCGACGGGTATGTGGGAGCGGGACTATGATGTTCTTCTGGAGGAGCTTGAGAAGGAGGAGCGGGCGCAGACGGAGCAGCAGCAGAGGGTTAAGGAGGAGGAGGAACGTGCGAAGATTAAATCGGTTGAGGGTGGCTGGAGGACGATCGTGGAGATTTTCGTACAGCGAAACTTACCGGGTGTCCGGGTAATGGCCCATCAGGACCAGCCAAGGATCACCGTTGTCCTCGTCAAGGCTGGCATGGCATTCCAGCTGCAGGCGGTCAATGGAGACGGACATGATATGGTCGATTGGCGGGTTCAGGACATGGCGGCTCCCGGGAAGCCGAAGACGAAGCTGGAGACGGCGGTTGCAGCTTGTCTGAATGCTCGTCCGCGGCAGTGGGATCTTGCGTATCTACTGGTAAGTTACATATTGACACCAACGGCAGATACAACGAGACAAGTCTAATCTCAATTCAGGACATGATCGCCTCCTACTCCGATGTCAAACAGACTCCCTGCGCAAAGTGCGGCAAGATGACCGACAACACCGCGCAACTCCCCTCCATCCGCAGACCCAACCCCATCCAATCGTCCCAAGGCCAACCAGTCGTCTGGGAAGCATACCATCCCGCCTGCATTGATTCTTCTCAATCCTCCCACCCTATCTCCAGCTAACCATGCACCCCATGCACAACATTATGCCAATACCCAGCCGGATACTCCGCCCCCTTCCAATCCCAATACCGCCGCGGAATGACATGCACCCGCCTCCCCCTCCTTCCATCCCCCTCCTCATCGCAGTACTCAACCCCACACCACGTCCCATGATCCGGAACCACATACCTCCTCCGCCGGAAATCATACCGCTCACACGCCCCCCGCCTCGCCCACGGGAACGGCGTCTCGTCCACCCCCGCGCAGCAACATCCCTCCCGGTACTCCCACCCAGACCAATTGATCCGTTCCTGACTCTGGCTCCGGCTGTTGATCTTCCCGACGTATATATCCGGTCCGCGATTGGTCAGGACATCGAAGAGACGCCACCGACGGGGCCAGCGCGAGGGGTTACCTGGCCGGGGGTCTTTCGGCCAGATCCAGCCCAGTGTTGTGGACGGCATTGCAATAGCGAGCAGCGAGCGCAGCCAGCCACGCGAGGCAGGGAGGTTGGAAACGAGAGAGAGCAGCGAGCTTAACAGCAATCAGACAAGTCAAATCAGCAGGCCAGCAGAGCGGACTATTCAAGGTCAAGATCAACACGTAGCGAATCGATAATGTGACTGCACCGCTTGTTCAGCTGTGCTTAGGATGAGATGGGGATGTGTATTGTACCTAACCTCACCCACCTATACTTATACCTGTATCTCTGTACTGGGAATAAAGAATAAAGTTTTCCATCTGGTGGGAATATAGGTTCATGAGACAAAGATTGCATTGCATGCGGCTGCATGGCTGTTTCTTTACTATCCCGGTACTACCTTACTATCCTGCTTTGTACCAATTGACAAAGACATATGCAGAATGCAAATGCAGTGGTTTGTCATAGACAAAGGATGCGGCTCCGGATATGCAATTGCTTTCATTCATTTTGTATGCTCTTGAATGGTAAACTTGGTTGATGAATTATGACATGCATGTCAATTTCTATGCTAATACAGCTCATTATAGACACCAGATGATTGAATAGATTGAATATACCAGTCCCCGCCACTTTAGATTATTGTAATGGCAAATACACAGAGAGAAGAAGAAAAACGAAAACGCCAGCCCAACCTTGCGGATACATCGCTATGGTCATGAAGGAAAAAGTCGCTCATTCGGATGCAATATGTTGGTGGAAAACATACGATACGTTCATGAGGAAGCTCAAGTGGAAAAGACACCAAAGTCACCGGCGAACCAGGTGAAGGAGGCTATGGTGATCATGGCCATGCCAAAGGCGAACTTGAGGGCTTGTCGCTCGATGTCGGAGAGGGCGCTGTTGCACGTGGCGCAGTTGTATTCTATATTCGGGTCAGTATGCTTTGTCAAAGTTGCGTGGGGAAATAAGAGCATACCGTTGAGAGGAGTATAGGGTTGCGGACTGTACATGCCAAAGGAGTAACCGTTCTGCGAGCCAAGGTGGCCGGCACTTGCGGTGTCTCCAATGTCCTTGTCCACGTCGACCACGTACAACGTGTACGTCGCAGTCAGCAGTGGGACCGTGGCATTCGCCTGGTACTTGCCCGTATCCCACACCACCTTTCCAGTCGCCTCGACGCTCATGTTGCTCGTGAGGGTATAGGTCGCGCTGTTCATGGTGCAGGTCGCAAGAACATTCACTGCAGACGGCGTCACCACTAGAGAGGTATAGTTCCAGGCAAAAGTCACATGGTCGCCGATCTTGTAGTAAGTTGTAGCACCCGCGGTGGGGATCAACATCGACGTTCCGCCCGCAGGGAGACGTGCATCGATCGAGGTCGACTTGGTAGAGGTCTTGGCCTTGCTGCTCTTGCCGGATTTGTCCGTGCCGGTCTCGGTACTTGTTCCCGACCCCGTCTGTGTGCCGGTTTCTTTGGCTGTTCCACTGCTAGAGTCCGTCGCACTCGAGTCATTTGTGGTCTTGCTTTCCGAGGAAGAGTCGGTCTTGCTCGACTTAGAATCAGCCGTTGTTTGGTCGGATGCAGTTGTATCTGTCGGGTCAGCACGCGAACAAATGAGCAATCTTCTTTGCAAACTAACCAGCTCTGGCCGCAATCTCTCCGTGTGCCAGGTTCAGCCCGTTCTGGGGCCATGGCCAAGCCGAGGAAATTGTTCCCAGCAAGAGGAGAAGGCTTAAAAACGAGAGGAAGTTGAGGGACTGCATTATGGAGAATGCCTTCAGATCCTGAGGCTATCACGCAATACAGGGACCGAGTCCCTTGAGAAGATGTTGGGAGGGTGATGCTCCGGCTATCCCGTAACCGATCGGCTTCTGTCTTCGCAAACGAGTGTCGACGACCGAGAGAGAGAGCGCTTCACAAGGCTGGCAATACAGTCTGGACGTAAGATGGACAGGTAGAACAAATTTCTACAAGTCAGCGGGTCAGTGAAACATGCGGATCGGGTGGTATCGTATGCGGGTCGCAAGGAGGGGAGGCTGAATGGCAGGTAAACAAAGCGAGTGACTGGTCAGAGAATCAACTCAACAGGATCACACCATGGGAAACCGTAGAGAGATGTGACCAAATTCAAGATACAAAAGGCAAGCTGGTCTCCGAAAAGCCAAGTCAAGTTATGAAGAGGGTAAAAAGAGGCCAGACGGGGGGTCCAATCGAAGCGACTAGAGAAGGGGATCTGGAGGCGGGCTAGCCTGTTTGGGCATAACTGAGACATGGGCTATTTTTGGCTATCAGAATTATTCACACCATCACATGAAGGTCATAATCACTTAGGACCCAGAGTCCATGCACCTCTATGTCCTCTAAAATAGCATGCTGAAACAACTGAACTTCCATATTTTCCTCTGGATATCCTCAATGTGTCGTCTTCATGGTCACCAGGAGTACTACTAGAGAACGACTCGACGTCTGAGCTTGACCAAAACATGGCAAATGGATCGATACTCATAATCACGAAGAAAGGTCCACTATTCCATACAATCAAAGATATAGCAGCGATTGATATAAACCACTGGCATCACAGCGGCATTACAGGTAAATAAACATTAAAGAGCGTTTCCGTATGTGCGATTGCATATCAATACATATCACTCTCGTCAGGTAAGGAGCGACTCATAACCTCCAAAACCCTCGAGTGAACCAAGTCATCACTCTCGCCACGCGCATATCCGATGGCAGCATCTTCCGCCTGCCATTCCGCACCCTATTTACAAAGTATATTCGACCTGGAGGTTGACGGTGCTGCAAGAGGAGGGAAATTTGGGTTCGTAGTAGCGGTAGATATAGAAGAGCTGGGGTGCGCCGTGGTACCAGTCGCACACTGGGATAAATTAGCCACATGCAGAGAGTTACCGGGTACCTCAGATGGCAATGCTTACCCAGCCAACCGCCAAAGCCCTGTTGCTCCGACCACTGCAGGCCGGTGCTATTGATGAAGAATCCCTCCGAGCCGTAGCCGACGTTGATCTCGACGGGTTCCCATTCTGCGCACAAGTCAGTTCCGAATCGAAGACAATATAGTTGGGAGAGCAGGGGACTAACGAGCATAGTTGGTGTCACCGATCGGATTGAAGCCCCAAGGGAACGGAGTCTTCAGGTCGAACTGCGTATAGGTGCCATTCAGGAAAGCCGTACTGGCAGTGTCCACATCGGGCGTGAGGACAGCGTCATTGAATCCTGCACCGGTGTGGTATGCGTAGACGTATAAATCATTGTGTTTCTCGTTAGACGCGTCAGCGGTCTTAAGATGGAAGGGCTTGGTGGTGGTGGCCTGGCGAGTTGTATGGAACATGGGGTTGGCCGCGACTGCGGAAACCAGCAGAGTGAGAGTAGAAAGCAGCTTCATTCTGATGATCGCTAAACGAGAGATTGGATTATTTTGTTGAACTGCTTTTCAGTGAAACCAGAACAAATGACAGAACGTGGACAACGATGTGAGAGAATGGGTGTCAGTGATGAGGATGGATGTGGCGATATCCCTTCCTTTATTTATTATGTTCTTGAACATCCACCATCACCAGTACTCCACCAAGTGGAACACCACAGACTGCTTCAAACCGGCATTTGGTAACCAAGTCATCTCATCAACGATCGACATCAAATTTAGAAGCTTCTGCAGATATTGCTGGAATGCTAGTTTGTTAGCACGCTGTCTAGCAGAAACTAGTCTGTTCTTCTCAGGCCACACCATCACATCACATCGCCGCAACAACCAAGAAATTCAAGGGAGAATGAGTCTCCACAGAGGAGTTATTCAGCTCAGGCTAAAGTATGGATACATAGGACAATTTTCCCGACGCAACAACGATCAATGGCCAGTGGGAACACGGCGAAGTTGCCAATGAACCAGTCAAGGTGTTCGGTTGAGTAGCGTAGAGGAAGATCGTACCGCAGTGGACACTGGTTGCTGGGGGAAAGAATCCTTCATGAAGGCGGGGATGGTCAAACCTGAGACATTGCCGACATCACCACAAGTGCAAAGTACGGAGCATGACTCAATGTCTCTGTACTTTGTTGTCGACACACTGTGAACACATGTAACTGTAACATCTACGCTGCCGATGCTCGATTCAGGCCAGCTATTTTTACACTTTGAGCTCAAACCCTCTGTAGTCCTCTATGCTGCACCAACTCAGTCACAAGGTGATCGACATCCCGATGCACGCTAACAGGAACAGGAGATGAGCATCCATCCAGACTTCGGAATCGTGCCGTCTTTGCCATATTCGGATAATGAGCACATCGACGGCAATACCAAGCATCCTCGGCTGAGAGTTGAAGTTTCGCAGTCGCTAAGGATCATCGCTATTTTGACTACCATCCTACATCCATGGGTCATGGTCATGAAATTCATGGACTACCTCCTTGATGGGACTCGACTGATATCATGATCATCCTGGTGGTTCCATTTGGTTCAGTCACCCCTGAAGTGACATCAGTTGACCTATTATTCAAGCTTGATCGGGCAGTCCGAGAGGCCATGTTCCATAGCAGGTGTGTCATATACATAAGTGATGCATGCTTAGTGATGTTTATGTTACTCTATCATTAGATCATTTGCGTACTCTAGGTATCTACAATGAATGATTCAAACGCCATAATCCGTGGTATCCCTCTTTCCTTTCAATCAAACCAAGTCGTCCGCGGTCCAAGCCAATAACGCCTGTCTATGCTGTAACCCGTGAGCGACGAGATGTGCTATTTCACCTTGGCGAATTCGGGTTTCAGCGACCATCTTCCTCGCCCGTTTCGTCCACCTTTTTCGAGCACGGCAATTGTTTTGAGCATTTCCTTAAACTCTGCCGATCGCTGGGGTGTGGTACAGTAACGGTTGAAGTGGTTGATCAGCATCTGTGTGTAAACGGCTCCACCCTGTGACAAGATGTAGTCTCGAATCATCGTCATAAAATCCACGCCAGTGGGAGTCCTGGATGGTGCAGGGCTGTTCGTGGCGCTCCGGGACGATGGTGTCCGTGCGGAGAGGTTAGCCAGAATGCTCGCTGACGAGGGGCCGGCCGCCGTCCGCCGCGCAGTGCTACTTCGTCCGCCAAATGCTGAAGGGAGGGGTCTTTCCTCGGGCCTTCCTGCGACTCCAAATTGACCTGTCCAGGTGGGAGTCCCAATGGGAACAGACCGTGCTGCTTCACCAGCTCGCCGCAGCTCCTCGGCAGCCTCGGCAGCTACCCTCTTGGCCTCCGCCTCGATGATCTTTGGGTCCGCTCGTACCACCCGTTTGCCGTTGACGATCTGATCATGCTCCAAAGCCGAGTGTACTCCAGAGCGAGCAAAAATGCCTTCCATGATGCGTGATTCTGAATTAACGGCTCCGGTCCCTTTCTCCTGATCGCTGGGCTGCTCCGACTCGCCCTGATATTTCTCCATGGACGAGACACCCACTACTTTGCGGATGTCGTTCTTTTCTGCTTGCAGGTCAGACGAGGCGTCCTGGGCTTTGGTCGATTGTCGATTATCGCCGTCACCGTCTCCCTGGAATGTAACCTCAGCTTCTTGGAAGAGCTTGCTCGTCTCCGTTGCACCTGGCTTTTCGTCGCCGAGCGCGAATAGGTCATACAAATCGCTCAACTGAAAGGAGGTCTGCCGCTGTTTGGGGTCTCTGAGAATCTTATTGGTAAGGAATTGTTTGAAGATCTGTCGATGATATATCTTCTCCTCAATTGTTCCAGCGGTCATTAAGCGGTAGACGCTGACTTCGCGCTTCTGACCAAGTCGCCATGCTCGCTCTCGGGCCTGCACGTCTGTCGATGGGTTCCAATCTGGATCATAGATGATGACCCTGTCCGCGCCCGTAAGATTCACTCCCAAGCCTCCAACCTTTGTCGTGAGTAGAAACACATGCAGATTCGGGTCATTATTAAACTCGTCAACCATGGTTTGCCGATTCTGTATGGGTGTGGTGCCGTCCATACGCCGATATTTGAATCCAGACAGTGACTTGACGAACTTTTCAAGGATATCCAGCATGATTCGATGCTGGGCAAATAGCAGTGTTTTATGGCCGGTATCTCTCCACAACTCCAATAGCGATTTGACAACCTGCATCTTGCCAGACTTGTTCGCATTTCCATAGCCCGGTTGATGCGATTGCAGCTTATGATTCTGTAAATCTGGGTGATTGCATATTTTGCGCAATATGTCAACTCCATATAGAATCTGCCTGCGCCCCTTGAGAATGGACTCCATTTCTTCAGATCTTAAAAATGTTTCATAGGCCATCCTCTGCGGCTTGGTCAACTTGCAAAAGAGCACCTGCTCGGTCTTTTTGGGCAAATCCGCAGCCACATCGATCTTGAAGCGCTGCAGAAGATATGGGCTGATGGCATCCTTGAGCGTCTCTGCACACTTGGCAGCTGTCTGCACTTGGAGATTAGAAGCATTCGCATATCCGCCCTGCCTGATAGGGAATTCGAATTGGTTCCGAAAGTTGACTAACGTTCCAAGGCGCATTGGGAACACAAAGTCGAAAAGCGACCAAAGCTCGGTCAAATTATTCTGCATAGGGGTACCCGAGAGGATGATCCTGTGCGGAGTCCTGAGCTCCTTGCAATGGATGGTAATAGAAGTGTTCGGGTTTCGAATCTTATGACCTTCATCAAGAATCGCACACCCCCATTCCACCGGGATCAGAAAATGAGAGTATGTTTGTAATCCAGAATAGGTAGTGACCAGAACGTGGCCTTCTTCCACCACACGCTTAACAACCTTGCTAGCTGCCTTCTGGTTGCTGGTGAATCCTCGAGAACTGGAAGAATAGGTCTGAGATAGAAGAGCATCCTCTCTGCTGCTCTCACTCCGGATATTGACCATGCCACTCCCGGACGTGTGCAAGATGGACACCCGAAAAGGCGGCCACCAGCGATGGAATTCGTTGACCCACTGCTTCATAACCGTAGCAGGGCATACCACAATCACAGGGCCGTCCAGTTTCTTGCTGTAATGCAGTCCAGCTAGGAACGCTATTGTTTGAATTGTCTTCCCCAGCCCCATCTCGTCACCGATAATTCCTCCCACTTTCTGCTGGTATAGCTCCCATAGCCATTGTACCCCGGTTTTTTGGTAGTCAAACAAGTAAGGGTTGAGATCCCCAGGCAAGCGATATCCATTGTCATAGGACACATCTGGTACCGTAGGATGAGGAAGGAACCATTCATCCTCTTCGATCGAGGCCTCCTCATCAATGGTATTCCCATGCTCTTCCTTTGCTTGCAGCGCCTTGGAAGCACGCTTTCGAGCTGCGCTTCTCCGACTCACCCAACTCTGTAGTCTCGATTGATAAAGTCTCTCGTTACCGTCGTCCAATCCGCTGAAATCTTCCATATCGTCACCAGGTTTCTTCCCTTTTTCGTGAGTTGCAGGTCGCTCTGGCTTTCCGTCCGGGAAAAATTCTTCTTCGTCCTCCAGCAATGATTCTTGTTCTTCAGACGCCACATAATCTGCCGACTCGTCATTATCTTCAGAAAGCTCGTTTTCTTCATCTGCTGCCATGGAATCAGACTCCTCTTGCTTGATAACAGTCTTCTTCCGGCGTGCACCACCCTCCAGCTTTCGTCTCTTGCTTGGTCGAGTTTGTGCGACACCAGCATCGGTACTCTCATCGTCAAAGTCGAATCCGGGGCGGACAAGATTCCTGTGCGAAACAGCTGAGCGATCTTTCAGTTGCTCCAACGCCTCATTCTCGTCACGTTCATCCTCGGCATCGATGAGAGCGTCATGAAGGCTGGCAAGAGGACCCTCATTCGGACCTGCACCCATCCTAGAAAAAGGCGTTATCTTCCCGGTTCGGATGAGATAATCTCTACGAGATTCATTTGGCAGGCGCCCTGTCCCGGTTGCCTGAGTACCTGCTTCGAGACCCTCATGTCTGTCGTCAATACGTTGTTGGATTTCTTTCAAGTCATTCTCTAGCGAGGCGTTGCGAGATTCTAGATTGCTCAACTCGTTTTCTAACCGGACTCGAGCAGACGTGCCAACTGGCTGCGACAGACGCTGATGAAATTTAAGAATCTGGGCCTCGAGTTTCCTAATCATTCAGGTATCAGCATCTGAGCCTAGGCATTGATTTATGGCAGAAGACATACTCTTTTTCAAGGGTGGTCTTCTCCAATCTCTTCTTGTCTCGTTCGTCGGCTTGCTCCATGAGCAACCTGTCGGCCTGGCAGAGTCAGACTAGAAAGCACTTCGTACAAGGAAGATTGGGTCCGGTACCTGACGAGATATGTCCCTTTCAAGGTCATCCTGATCGCGTATATCGGCCTGGAGCTCTCGTAGACGGCTTACTTCATCGGTCACTGCAGAGGGATCTTCTTGCTGCTTTGAGGTAGCCACTGT